ATCAACCTGTGTCTGATGTGGCTCGGGCGGTCCGTAAAGTGAGTGATCCTTAATTATCAACATCCATCTTCACACTTCTAATTGATTTTTTGATGTAGGCCAGGAAGTTCAACGGACTGTGTACCAGGAGTTCTGCAAGAAGGCAGGGGTTTATAGCCAAAGCAAAGCAGTTGGACTATCATGGTCGATTGCCTATATCTGGATGGGGCGTGCGTTGGAACGTCGACGCTGATTACCTCAAACGGCTGAGTGACGCCCAAGACATAAGTCATTTCACCTCTGCCCTAAAACCTCCATTCTGTATCTTATATTTGCCTATTGCTCTCTCGCTTACTTTCCCAATGGAATCAATCTTTAGGTTGTGGACGCTATTCTCCTAGGTGACCGCAAGACTCAATACTATCAGGGTATCAATATATCGGCTGATGAATGGGACTCCATTGAGAGTCTGGTCAAGATACTTGAGGTTAGTTATCATTTCTTCAACTTTTTTTCAAAATGTTCTCTTTGTCTTTATTTTATTGATCTGTCATTGTCTCTTTGTAGGTTTTTTTGTACGCTACAAAAAGAATGGAGGGCGACTCCCCCACTGGCTGCATCTTACTAGCCGAGTACTCACGAATGGTCCTTGAACTGGATAACCTTATGCATATCTGTGAGGATCAAGACCTCAAGGCTATGATTGAATTGATGTTGCAAAAACTGGAGGGGTACCAAGCCAAGGCAGTTGCCTGTGATGCGATTGTCTTATCTACGGTCCTCAATCCTCGCTTTCGAGTCCGTTTTTTTGATCTCAATTATCCCGATGACGCAGATCGAGCCAAGAAGCTATTTATAAATGCCTTCAAAGGCGCTCTGGCCCGATGGGTTGAGGATCTTATCAACTCGACTCCAGACAGCAATCAAGATATTCAAGCTCCACCCGATCCCATCTCTCCCAGCCCAACCTGCTCACAATTTGATGTCTTTACCACCCAAGTGACAACTCAGTCGCCTGCTGATAAACGTAGCAAGGAGTGTGGGAATTACGTTGATGGGGATCATCTGTTGCTTGCCAGCCAGTCTGAGCTAGACTTGTGGAGAGTAAGTTTTTACCTTTCATCACTATCTTTTCAACAATTTTTCTGATCCTTTTGTTACCACTCATAGGAACACGAGAAGGATTTCCCTGTCCTTGCCACTCTCGCTCGCAATTATCTCGGGATTTTGAGCACCTCTTGCCCTTGCGAGAGGACTTTCTCCTCTCCGGCTGATATCGCTGTGCCAGGTTGTGCCTCTTTGACTGCGAAGGCAATTCAGATGCTAGTCAGTGCACGCGAGTGGTTGAAAGCCAAGGTTACACTATCAGGTGCATTTGCTGATGCTGCAGCATACCTCAAAGCTTATGAAAGTTCTAGCAAAAAGACTAATAAGAAATGATTTCGCTCCTGTTTTTTTTTCTAATAAATACCCCGAAATGCTTTGTGTGCGCTTTTAAACTAAATTGATTCAGAAAGATTTGTGTGTTTTCTCTCCATAAACAAAAAAAACTAAAAACAGTTGTGCGTGCACGGTTTTTTTTCTTTTTTCTTATCAAAGAAAAATCTAGAATAAAATGTGTCTTTTTTATTTTATTTTGTCCGTTTGCCTTTGTCATTCTATAGCCAATCTTAATTTATACAAGTAATAAATTTGGCTTGAACAAAAAACTCACAAAACCGACTTTACCCCAATCTCAGGCGCTCCCTGCTGTGAGATCGAGCGATAGCGGAGCCGAGCGGTTTTTCCGCTCTGAAAAACCTCATAGCGCTTCAAAAAAAACTCTGAGGCGCTACCCCCTGTCAGATTGAGTGATAGTGGTGCAGAGTGGTTTTTAACCCCGCATCGCTCTCAAAAACCCATAGCGCTTATAAAAAAATTAGAGCGTAGCGATAGTCTCTTTCTCATAGCGCGGTATCACTACGCTCGTAAAAACTGTGATTTTAGCAGAGCGGAGCGGTGCGGTGTGGGTGTTGTCACAAATGCCACATTGCTGTAAGTTGCAACACGTGAAACAGGATGGAAAATTGTTGGAATCAAGAGATGACATGTCTATCTTGCAAGAGGATTATCCAATTGCTTTGCGTAATAACACATTGACAACTTGCCTTGGTCCTGGTGAGCAGAAGTTTGGAGTTGATTGTGGAATCAACACCCCTGCTACTCCGCCCGAGAAAGCGGAAGCAGAGCGCGTGCCCTGCCCGCGCTATCACTTTTTACACATAGTGGGTTTCACGACCTGCTATAGCTAGGGTGAAACCCGAGGCAACATAGCAAATCAGTGACCCGCCCTGGATAGCGGTGAGCCGCTGTGCTATGAGTCGCCACAGCGGCCCAGAGCGCATATTGACAGGGCGCCACAGAGCGGCAGAAAGCGCCCTTGTAACAATTGTATCACAGCTTAGCTTGATACATACAAGCATTTGGATCACACACCCCACGGCCCACCGGCCATTACACCCTCCAACCACCTTTCCCCTTTCCTCACCATGCCCTCCAACCCTCTCTTGAATCCCTTGAATACCAAATTCCCCACCAAAATCACCTCATCACCATCTCTCTAGTACTCAATCAAACTCCCAACATCACTTCATTGTCTCAAACTAATAGCATATTTCCTCACCATGCCCTTAAACCCTCTCTTGAATCTTGCAAATACTGAATTCCTCAACTGAAATCACCTCATCACCATATCTCTAGTACTCAATCGAACTCCCAAAATCACTTCATTGTCTCAAACTACTAGCATCCTTCAAAGATGCTACTGTTTCCAGAACGATTGGAATTGGATCCATTGGCTCTGCCTCCACTTATAAAAACCCTCGCACTCGCAGGTAAGTTCTTCTTTTCCCTATCAATTATCCATTATTGTATTCTTCAGTCTCCTATTCACTATCATCTGATCTTTAACCTCGTAACTTTTTTTCAAAATTAGATAACTTTGAAAAAAAACTTGATTCACCTTCATCATGTCATCTTCTGTTCCTGATGCTAGACACTATACTTAAACTACACTTCAAATTGGCTCTACCAACACCCTTTTACCATCTTCTGCAACTTCTGCTCCATTACTTCAACCACGTAGCCCAGTGCAGCCACGTCCTGGCTTTGTAACGCGGTCGCCAGACTCGCGGCGCTCCCTTCAACTTCCTGGTGTTAGCAGTGAGGATCCAACTCCTACCAATGAAGAGGACCAGTATGTGACCAAAGGACGATCAATCAGTTGCATCAGTTCCACCCAGCTCTGTTCCTTCTCCTGTCCAATCAAAGAAGAAAATCACCAAACTTACCAGCAAGAAACAATCTCCTGGACAAGTTAAACGCAAAGGTTTGATTTCTCGTAACACTTTGAACTCTTCACAACTTCGTTCAGCACCTGTGAAGAAGAAGAAAAAGGTGAATACAACGGTTCTTCAGGTACGGACTTACCTTTCTCACTCTTTTCTCATTTGTTCTACATTTGAATGTGTATTGTTGCTGATTGAACTTATGTTTTACTTTTAACTTTTCACTTTGACTAGCACTACGAGGTTTCTGATGGTCTTGATGTTAATCAAGATTTTGAAATCAAAATAGTTGAGACCCCCAGAGTCAGGCGTGCACATCTCGGCAGAGTTACAATACTCTTGAGTTATTACAACCCCCTCATCCGTGTGAAAGGCGAGGTAGGTCTTCTTTCTATTATCATGTGGTAATGTCCTTGTATTGACGAGGTGGAACATGTTCAGACTGGGGACAATCCTTGTTGTTATCAATGCAAGTACTGCCGTGTGTACTTTGTCTGCGGCCGACGTAGCTACTACAACCTTTATTCACACCAAGACGGATCCAAGGATCAACCAGCATGCCCAAACAGACACCTCGCCATCCGGGATGGACATGTGCTCCCTCGAACCTGGAGACAGCAGCAAGACGACACAGCCAAAGTTGCCAATACAAACCCCAAAGCCACACTCAACTCTTTCTTATCCCCCCTAACCCCTGAGTACGACGTCTTCACCAAGAATGTATCATCTCAGTCTGCTGCTGATAAACACTGAGAAGAATTTGTCGAGTACATAGAGGGTGCTCACTTGACGGTCACAGGTCCGAATGAGCTACAATGGTGGAAGGTGAGCTTTTTGATTTGATTTATTCAGTTTTGAAATCCTCTGATGGTTTCCTTTGCCAATTACAGGAGCATGAGACCAATTTCCCGGTGCTTGCATCAATGGCACGTGATTACCTCGCTTTGTCGGGCACGTCATGCCCTTGTGAGAGAACATTGTCATCAGCGTCGGATATCACAGTCTCCAGTTGTGCATCTTTAACAGCAAAGATGATTGGAAAGCTTGTTGGAGTAAGAGAATGGTTAAAGAGTGGCATCACACTTTGTGGTATATATGCTGATGCTTGGGTGTATGTAAAAGCTTATCAAAGTCAGCCAAGAAAGGCTAAGAACTAGTGTTACTGCTGTGATTTCTTTCTTTTGTTTATTGTCAAACAAAAACCACAAAGCCCCCCCAAAAAAAGTGTCTTCTTTTCTCCTCGGGTTTCCTTTCTCACCTCACAACCCTGTCCCTACATAATTGTATGTGGCTCAATGATGCTTGTTTGTTTTTTCAAAAACAAGTTTTACTCCTTATGCTTGTTTGTTTTTTAAAAAACATGTTTGACTTCTGCTATCATCCCCACTCAGCTCGGTTTGAATTGAAATACACTGTTAGGTCCATTTTGTAACCAAAACGAGCTTAAAAGCCCATTTGAACGCGCTTTCAGTCAATATCTCAGTGAGATTTTTGTATAGCGGGGTGCAGCGGGGCGGCATGTCCGCCCCGCTCCCAATTCACATAGCGACACCACATTGATAGCGTAGCGTTTGTGGCTTTATCTTAGCGCCGAATCGCTCCGCTTGTAAAAATCGCGATTATAGCGGAGCGGTGGTGGTGTTGGTGGAATCCAGCAATCATCACAGGCTTGATGAAAGTTATGACAGGCGTGCATCAATGGGCCTATCAATTGATAGCAGGTGTCATGTTGAGTTGCCGTACATTATCACAGTAAGAGCACACACTCAGCTATCCGCTCAGGGATCCAACCACAACAAGGATGCGGAAGGATTTGGGAGCGGGAGCTGGGCGGGATATATAGGTGGTGAGACTAGGGCTACTGTGCCCCAGTCGTGGACCTACACCTACATATGACAAGGCCATACCACCCCCCCACAACAAGGCACAGCAGACAAAAAGAAACGGAGACAGAGATGAGAACAGAAAACAATCATCACAAATAAGAAAAGAAAACAAGATAAGATGAAAAAATGGAAAACATAAAATAAAATGACGGAATACTTCTCCATTCTCACGCCTAAAGCAAAATTCACCATCAAGGTCATAACAAATAACATCTTGCTGAGAAACTCCCTGACTACAATCCTTGCCAAGTAGAATACCCTGTGGGCTCTTTTCAATCAAAAAGTAGTCTGGATGGTAGTCAAGTAGGTGATTGATTGAAAGAAGTTGTTCATGAAGGCGGTTTTCTTGATGTTTGCTATCTAACTCTTGATTATGATACTCATTGAGCTCCATATCAACTTCAAACAAACCATCTTGAGTGTTGAAAATCCATTTGCAGGCACACCTGGACACACAATCTGGCGGGAAAGGTGTGGAGTCAAAGACTGAGAGTTTTAGAGCAGAGCTGGCTACAATTGTTTCAGGATCAGGTAAGTCAGGTGAAGGCTTGATGGTAGTTGATTGCTTCTTTTTCTTCTTCTTTTTGTTTATTGAAGTTGGAGTGATGTCGGTCAAAGATGAGATTGAGTTGGAGAATTGAGAGGAAGTAGATTGTACCAGAGGTATATCTGAAACACTTGAGGTTGATTCAACTAGAACTGACAGTGAGTTCAAGCATATAGCAAGTTCTGAAGAGCTAGAACCGAGTTGATCAGGATGGACTAGATCAACACCAGAAGGTACTTGAATAACATCAACGGTAGGTGTTGGCGTGAGATTGATGCTGTAGATCGGATCAATTGGACCAATGTCAATGATAGGGTCAGACTTCCAATCAGCATAATTGGAAGTATTGACATCTGAATTAGGCGTGTCTAGGCTCTGATTGATTGTGCTGTTGGGTGGTAGATCAGTCATAGCATGTGTTGAGTCAAAAGTAACCACAGGTAGCAAGTCAACAGTGTTTGCAGGTTGGAAGTTTGGTACTCTCCAATCAACAGCATGAGCAATAGGTGCGTGATCAACATTATCAGTAGAAATCAAGTCGATATCAGAGTCTGAATTAACATTAACAATATTATTTGAGTTGCTGATAAATAAATTCATTTTGTTGGGGTTTGGATTGATCCCAGCGCTAGCCGCTATATCAGTGCTAGTATGAGCCACTTGACTAGCAGTAGGATCGATATGTGTGAGCTTGAAGGTAGGTGGAAATAAAATCACTACCAATATCTGAGTTAATATTGACATCACAGCCTGACATAACATTTACATTGCTATTGATCACCGGGCCGGGTGCAGTTGAAGACGAGTCATGGGTCTTTGTAGGGGGCAAATGAACATCAGTTTGAGTGTTGATCTGTAAGTTGGGAGTGTCTAGAATTGGATTGATCGTGCTACTGGATGTGAGATCATCAACTGGACACAATGAATGTGCAGTTGGTTCTGAAACTACAGCCACAATGATGACTGATTTGATGGTAGTGGCACATGGTGGAATCACTGTGGTGATGGCAGCAGCTGGAGCGGGGACGGTGGCAGGTTGAGAGTTGAGTACCGCTTGATCAGTAGGCAAGACTGACTGTTGTGCAGCCAGTTTGGATCTTGAGTTGATAACATGTGGCTTGATTTGCATCAGATCAATCACCAAGCTTGTGGAAGCGACTGATCTAGACTTGACACTGGCACATTGTAACAGTTTGAGGCCAGCAGAGTCCATGGTTTATTGATCAGCTTGAGCAAGCTCACAGACTTCTGATTGCAGTTGTGATTGAGAGACAGAAGGAGGTATAGAGCTTGATCTTGGAACTCTGGAGACATGGCAATTTGACTCAAGTGGTGGAGCTGAGAGCGAACACGGTGGCGTCAATATCTGTGTAGAAACCAAAGACAAAAGTGGATTGGTTGCAATAGATAGATGAGTCCTGGGATCGGGAGGTGGCAAGTTTTGTGAGTTTTGTAGCCGCCAAGCTGTTGAGCGAGGTGTTGGCTTCCGTCGGCAAGTGAGATCTTGGAATGTAGGCTTTGCAAAAGATGAGCGAGATGAGTTGAGGTGCAGATGGGGAGCAAAATGAAAGGTGAGAAGTTGGATATTGGACGAAAACATGGCAAGTCAATGGAGAGCTTGAAGACAAGGTGGTGGCAGAGTGTATGGAGTAGATAAAGGAAAGGTGGTGGGGAAAGGTTGGTGAGGATAGTGATAAGTCATCTTTGGAATCAAAAAATTGAAACATCAAAGGTATAAAAAATCAAAAGTCGAGACACTTCCTCAGCTCAGCAGGCTGGCATCAAGAGTCGATGTTGGGATGATCTGATTTGGTTTGATTATAATAACATTGTTCTCTTTCTTTCAAAAAAATATCACTTTCAAATTCTTATGTTTTGCTGATCAATGTATCCAGTAATTATATTGCTTTATTCTCTCCGCTTGGTGTTTTTAAAATTGCTTTTCTTTTGCGCTTTTGCTCTTTCTTCTTTTCGCTCTTTTTGTTTGCTTCACTTTTTCACGCCGCTAGTAACACTGGGCCATAACCTGTAAGAGCACACGCTCAGCTATCCTCTCAGGGATCCAACCAAAACTAGTATGATAGATTGCATACCTGTAAGAGCACACGCTCAGCTATCCACTCAGGGATCCAACCACAACAAGGATGCGGAAGGATTTGGGACGGGAGCTGGGCGGGGTATATAGGTGGTGAGACTAGGGCTACTGTGCTGGAGCCGTGGACCTACACCTACATATGGCTAGGCCATAACAATCACGTGCCATGAGATTACCTGTCAACTTTTATCAGAGACCGGGGGTGACTAGCAATTCTCCGTGGTAACCTAACCAGTATAGAACTGATACCAGTGAACAAGAGAGAAGATTTTCAGTTTGCTATTTGACATTTGAAGTCAGGTCAATTTGTAGACTTATGAGGTTTGAGCTAAGACGTGAATCTAGTTTGATGAGCTTGGTCAGTATAGTCAAGGACAGGAAGCCTCTTTTAATCTTGGATGGGTATCCATTTAAACCCGAAAGCCATAAACTTATTCATATCTCAAGCTTTTGAGAAGCCGAGAGTGTTTTTGGCAACTTTTGTTTGATTTTTTATTTTATCACCAAAGGATCACATCTGCAATGATTCTGCTTTACTTTGACTTCATCACATCTAACTCAATCCTTCTGAAAAATTAATCTGGCGTTCATTAGCATTCATTGGTTGAACTTTGATGTGTCCCACCATCTATCCACGTACTACTGATCATGATGTAATCAAAATTGATTTTTGTTCATTCAATTATGGAAGGGAAGCAAAAAAGTCCTCTGAAACAATTCTACCCAATAAAGCAAATGAGATGCTCACTACAAAAACAAAAAGCCTAAAAAACATGAAGGAAACATGATCAGAATGAAAAGAACAAAACAAAAATCGAACAAAATCGAACACAAATCGAAAAAAAAAACAAAAAAAACAAAAAAACATCTGATCTTTCTAAAAAGCTAGTTTTAAAAAGCCGTTGATGTGAGGATTCCAAAAACACTCTATGGATTGATAGGATTGGCAAGTGTGTTGTTGGTCCACATGATGGCAGATAACATATGTGATTGCTGGACATTAGAGAGACAATGAAATGAGAAATCATGCTGGTGGATAATAAGTGTGGGTCATTCACCGGATTCATGATTGAAGATGATAAGTGCGTTTGGGATTGGTTGTTATGATTAAAAGACCTATATCTCTATATGAATTCACTTATAATAGACCAATCTTTCATCATTTGCTATTCAAGCTCAACTCCACTATATTACTTCTCCATTCAATTCAATTCCATAACTTCAGCTTCCAATGTCTAGTAGCTCATTTGAATATGCTCTTCCAATGCAAAACGATCACTCAGGCAATCTCAATCTGCAGACTCAGGCTGTAACAGATGTTTCAACAACAGGAGAATTCTCATTCTGGGGAACTCTTCATTCACTTGATCAACATATTCCAGAATGCAAGTTTGATCAGTTTTCAAGGGTAATTCATAATGGCCGTACGAGTCAACCTCCAAGTCCAGTTATGTATTGTCGTCAATTTTCAAATATTATAATTGATCTTCCAATTGCAAGACTTACAGAAATGATTTCTCGTACTCATTGTATTGTACAAAGAAAATCTGATAAAGAACCATATTTCAATTTACAAAATGTATCAGAATGGAAAGATTATCAAGCGTAATCACCTGAATCTAGCTTAGATAGATCTGGGGAAGGATAATTGTAAGTCTTTCATATCTACTCATCAATCAAATATCAATTCACTCTAATACAAAAATATCCAAAAGTATCTATATCTATTATAATAGTAAACATGGCATCTTTCTGAATGGCAAAAAACTTGAATATAACAAATGGACTGAGTTGCAAAATGGTGATAAAGTCAGTATCTTTAGACTAATTTCAAAAAGCAGGAGATAATACGAATTTTGAATGATTAATCAAAATAGATTACTCTCCTACTTGGTAATTCTCTAGAAAAATCACTTGATATACTAAAATGCCTTATAGTGATTGATAATGAATATTGGGAAGCAGGTTAGTATTCTCATTTCATATATTAACTTACTGAAAATATCAGCATTCATGAACTAGAAGCTAATCACTTATGTATTGAAATACGCAAAGTTTGAAAAGCAAGATTAGTTCAATCAAACCAATCAAAAAACCATAAGAATATGATGATATTCCAAGGACAAGAATAGCCCCAAATATCACCAATCCAATCAAGAAACAACAATAATATTGAAATAACTCAACCAGTAGAAAGTAATGAGGTATCTGGCTTACTACGCCGCTCAAGTCAAATAAAAAACAAAGGGAATTAGATACTTGATTTGAAAGACTGAGTTGCTTAGAAAGATCTAGAAAGATCATCTTGTAAAGGAACAGTTTTAAAGTAATGGAATATAATTGAAATCTTTGTTTGATATCTTTCAAAGAGACTAAGATAAGTATTCCTTTCAACTTATTCATTCTAAAGAGGAGGATGCTCGCGGTCCCCAAAGAGATGGGGTCTAAGCCCTAGCTCTAACCCTAACCTAACTCTTTTTGTTGTACTTTGTCATCCCAAAATCCGTAGCGCCATTGTGTAGTCCATAGTCCTGTGTCTTGACTCCCTCAAATTGCAGCTGTATCCGTACCCACACATTTGGTCAATGCAAGTTGAAACAGCCACCTGAGAATGGCCAACATACACATTGCTGACATCCACTGCTGAAACCAAGACACGTGTTTCATTTTGAAGACTAGGACATCTTGCCTCCCATGCGTGCTTTTGAATGCACAATGACCTTTGATGATGCAGAACTCATGCAACGATGAGTTTGTCAATGCTTTCTCGGGCATGCAATATCAGAAAGTGAACAGAATGCCTGGACAGAAGATAAGCAGACATTTTGAACGTAAGGTGAGTGTGCGTCTTGAGAACCCGCGCCAATTATGTGAAATGCACACCTGGCCCAAAATACCAAATAAAATTGAAGAGCAAACCCGCTTGCCATCGGCGAGCAGCCGTATCCATCTTTGGCGCGCATTTCACAGTCTATGAAGAGGCATGTCCAAGCGACGGGAGTGAGGGAAACGCCATTGCTTGCCATTGGCAAGCAATATCACTCAGGGAGCGTATGAAGTGTTTATTTCAGTCACCCGCTTGATGATCACATTTGATCGATGCACGTTGCCTCAACAGATGATGCCCATGCCAAAGTCCGTGAATATACGTCATGGCTTGGGAAGAAACAGTGTTGCCTTGCGACATAGCGATCTATTGTAGTGCTTGCCATCGGCGAGCGCGCCATTAGATCGCTCCATTGAGCATGTCATTGGACAACTTCGTACGCATGATGACATATCTTATCGCTTGCCAACGGCAAGCAAATCACTCAATTGTTTTGTAGTCATATATGCGTGACCACGTTGCGCACCCCTGAAGTCTCTCAAAGGTTTCCTCACATGATTGAGTGCTCAGTTTGAGAGTACATCGAAAGAGTGATACGTGCCAGACAAAGGTATTTCCCTTGGTCCGCTCGCCATTGGCGAGCAACACAACCTGGTGTGTCAACAATAAACATTTGACATCATGTTTATCCCGGTATATCCAATGATTGTTGGACCCCTCTCGTAATGGACAAGCGATATCAGTCCAATATTGATGAATGGCAGGTATCACCTCGCGGTGATGGCCGCAATGCCATTCGTTTTTGCCTCGCCATCGGCGAGCGACCGAACTGCGGGTATGTGTGATCTTGTCGCTTTTGTTCGGCCCACCATTGGCAATCAGGCCCTTTCAGGTTTGACGCGCAACACAGATGAACTCCTTGATCCAGTATCTTGAAGTTCGCTCGGTGATGGCGCGTCACCAACTTGCCCTGTCGCACACCAAAGGACACCTAGGTGGCCATTCCGACATTAGGCCTTGGGACTATATTCTATCGGCATGAGGAATGAGGATAGAGAGATTCATTAGCTCACTTTCATCGGGACGCACTTGTGCTTACTTTGCAGTGGGAGCCACACCCAAGGCATCACAATATTGCATGTGTTGGCTGATTGTTGCATTGGACATAGCAAACTGAATTCCCCATGCTAACTTCATCTATTGCAGTGGGTCCTAACTCGCAGCGCACCCCAAAAGGGATGTGCCTCCATGAAGATGCAATGAAGTCACGCATGCTCCCAATGCCTGGCTCATGGCTTCAGGTCTAGGAAGAGCATCATCTGAGGTCAAGCCCGTGATATCTTTGTATATTTCACAAATTCTGTTATTTGCAAAGAATCAAGGATATATCCATACATATCATCAGTAGGTGAAAATGTTAGATCTCATGTTCTGGAAGGAGATTGGACTCACCTTGAAGTTGCATCTGTCAAATCTGATTTTATGCAAAATGACGAAAGGATGGTGTTTATAATAAACACCATCCCAACTTGATGACCAAAAAAAGGGGGGAAATTGCTGGCGGTTGTATCCCATTGTATAAGAGGGAAAGGAACTGGAGAGAGACAAAGTAACAGAAAGAGTTTGTCTTGTGAGATCTGGAAGCAGAAATTAAGGAGACACAAGCAAAAATAATATTTAAGAAATCTTGCGGTGAAATTCACCTGGTCTTCTGGAAAGTATAACACCCAAAGATCAGAAGTGTACTAGTGATATTGATAAGGCTGGCTTCAATTTGATAATCCAACTGTTGGAGGTCTTCAGGGGCTAGAATCTGATTTGAGTTTACAGGGGTAATGTATGTTTCCGGTCTAAACATATGTGGCAAGGAGCAGTCTGGTTTTCCTTCCATCACAGCTGTTTGACTTACTTTTCATATCCTCTGTTAATTGATCTATTTTGTGTGTTACATTATTTATCCAGATTGGGAGTAGGTGACATCAAGCATGCTCAAGCCTTGGCATTGAGGTTTGTGTGCCTAATTTGCAAGCACCTCCTCTTGATTCAACCTCAGTCCATATCTTCAGCTGTCATTGGCCTTTTCCTTGGGTTTGCTCGCAAGATTCAAAACCTTGGATATGAAAACCAAATCTTGAGTTGTGTAATTGGATCAGTGTTGATAAATCACCAGCCAATTGCAAGCAATCTTTGTCATGATTTTGGAATGATTGAAAAAAACAAGCCTAGTTGTAGAAGGTTATTTTGGAAAGGCAATATATCCACAAGCATCAAGCCTCAGCAAGAGCTGTGAACAACTATGATAATTGTGTGCATAGAAAACCAAGACCTTCCCTAGTGACAAGGCTTGGGGAATGATTCCAAGTTTGAGTCCGTTTAATTTGTGAGTTAATTTGACAATCAAAGTACAGCTGTTTAATTTGGGAGTCATTTTGACGATCAAAATACAGACAAATGTATGTATTTCTCAACTTGATTGATTTCAATTTTCTTATAGACAGGGTCAATCATACCTTGCATACTTCTTCAAGATTACTATCAAGATGCCTTTCAAGCTGTAAAAGCCCAGATGTTTAATTAACAGCAGAGTCTAAATACATGGTGTGACTCAGGGTCTGGGCGTGCAGACAGCTGTGATTTAAAGAATATGTCTCATACATATGCATCCGAGATGACAACAAAAGCAGGGGCTTTACAGCATGACTTACAGTCACACATCAAGCATGTGAAAAATGGACTATATGATGTATCAACTATTTACAAGATGGAGACTTTTCCACTCACTGAAGGTCCAATAGGAAATGACTACTAATCAACTACCAATCAACTGTTGAATCTCTTTGTAAATGATTGATCAGGCATTGTAAACTCTGCATGTTAAGAATGCCCTTTCATTATATGTAAGTGCCAAAGCCTCATGAGATTCAAACCTAGACTGCAACTAATTCCACTTCTTCATCAGTCAAATCTTCTTAACATGTCTCATTCATCTTCAATCTCAGAAAGCTTAGATAATCAATTTAGCAAGTGTCACCAAAAGGACTATGATTGTACCCAACCCATAGATAATTGCAAGAGTCTGCCTGAGCATCTCGAGCATACAGATTGGGTTCAAACAGACAGTGAACATGATGAATTTTTCTTCAGAGATGTTCACAGAATTTTGAATGAAGCCATGATTCTGTTTCTAGACTATGACCTCTACCATGTTTCATACTTACTCTCTGTCAAAAATCAATCAGTAGACCTCAAAACCAGTCTTCAAACAGCAATTGTTGGTCTTCAACCTCTGAATGCTACACCAACTGTATCCAATCGTCGAAGACTTCTTGAAATGGCCAAATGTTTACTAGGTGTAATTGACAACTATGAAAAGCAACAAAATCAAAATAACTTATCACTTGAAGTCAAAGTACCTTTTTGCCTTAGATACCCTACCTTGGAATCATTAGAGAAACTTGATGAGGATAATGAAAAGAAGATGAACATTATGAAGTATGAAAAGGCCAAAAGGACCATTGGTATCTTCATTCCACCAGTCCGCAAAAGTGTAGTACTAAGTCATCTTTATAATCTTTCTGTTTTGTTCAACAAAACATGGGCTAACACATATCTTGTTTTGTTTTCCTCATCCTTCTTTGGAAGAGATCTAAGTTAGCTTGCTTCAGAGCCGCCTTGATAGTTGGAACAAGAGTGGATAACCCACAAATAGAATTAAGTACTACTACAGTTGATCAACATCCCAAGTTACCTATACACCCTTCCAACATCCCTCATCAAGCAAGATTCAAAACAAACTCAAACAACAAGAAGACTGTAGCAAAAAGGAAAAAAGGACCTTGGTCCAAACTTCATCAAAACTGACCATAAATTGTGAAGCACTCTCAATGCCCATGCATTGTGCTTTGCCCACGGACAGGTAAGTTTGCATCTTTTAGAGTCTTTCTCAATAGATTTCAGCATTCACTTGTTCCAAATCAAATCTGATCAACTTTTTCTCCATTATTAAATCACATTAAATCAACTTTTCTTCATCCATTAAATCAAAACAAGTTCATATCACCATTAATCAATCAAAACCAACTGAATATCATATTTAATCAATCAAAACCAACTTGTTATCATCCTTAATCAAATCCAATAAAGAGCAACATAAATCAAATTAAAAGAAACTATCACAATGTTTCAAACACAAGTCATAGCACATTAAATATCAAATAAGATTGAATAACCAACAATTAGGTTATCTTGACCATGTGGTCAATATTAATGTCAGTGTAGTGTTACATCCTCTACACTGTCTCTAATTGCACACAGGATCTAGCATACAACAGATGCCCTATGGGTTTTAGTAAGCGCACACTTTGCCATCATAGGAAAACTGGAGCCCTTGTGCCTGGTCTCAGGCTGGAACATCATGTCAAGCCTCTCTAGGGTCTTATGGATAGCCTTTGTATAACTTGAAGTGGTACCCCCTTGTTGCAAAATCTCATCACATCTCTCTCCTTTTTCACTAAATTGCATGGCATTTGCAAACTTTTGGTAGCCTTTTTTATCATTTCAAGACTCTCAAGGCTAGAGTGTACTTCCTTGTTTAGGTTAGTTTGTGGAGAAGTAAACCTTATCCAACCCCAACAATCTCAGAGGTAATATCAAATCATTGAATGAGTGATCCACAATAAAGAGATAGATTCGTGCAAAACATACAAAATCAATTACATAGAATCTACAAAAAACTTAAAAATAGGCTGATAGGATGGAATACATAATTGGTGATGATAACACAAATTTCAATCATTAAATAATATTATCAAAAGTTGATATTAAAAGTTGATATTAAAATCACATGGTTGACCCTTGGATGAGTGCAGGACTCTTCTGGATATATCACCTACACTATTCAGAAACAGATGGAACAGATCACCAAAGGAAATATGGAGTAGTCTTGAAGTTGTAACTTACCACAGCACCAAAATAGTTGAAGAAGACCAAAAAGAGTCAAGAACCAATCACATGGCTGTAGCACAAGACTTGGGCATTGTCCATCTGCAACTGAATATCTAAAGAGCCAGACCAAGGCTATCTAGTTAAGAGATAATGGAAATCTAACTTACAAACCTGTGATCTTCTCAAAATGAAAATCCATATCACGATAGATTCACAAATTTCCTATGGACAAAATTTGTTAGGAAGACAAGTTCATTTTGGAAGGAAGGACTGGATGATTGGCTTACTCAAGTTTAGATTCTCCCTACTGGTAACCATACAAGTTACCTTGTTTTTCATTTGTTTTTTTGTCATTTTTTGGACTTTTATTTTAATTTATGTAATTTTTTATTTGTTCATTTTCTATTTTTATTTATTTATTTATTCATTTAGTTTGATTTATTTTTGTTTTTATTTATTTCTTTGTCAATTATTTATCTATTTATTCATTTAGTTTGATTTATTTTATGTTTTATTTTTTTCAATTTTTTATTTTTTATTTTTTTGTATTTTTATTTTCTATTTATTTTTTATTTATTTTTCATTTATTTTTTATTTCTTTATCATTATTTTTTTGATTGTTTTTTATTTTTCATTTTTTATTCATTTATTGTATTTTCTTTTATTTAAATTTTTATTAATATTAATTTTTTAGGTGTTTCAAAAGGAGTCCACATCAGTACATGGCAAGCAGTGAAACTTGAAGGTATAGAACCTTCATATTTGTTCCCATCCCCTTTTTGATCTTCTTTAACTTTTTTTGTCATGTGGGACTCTTTTGGCGTGATGGATTCTTCCTCCTTATTCCTTATGATTACTGTTGACCAGTTTTCATGGATCTTGCATAACATGGGTTTGGTGTGTACGGCCAAATATTTAGATGTATTGACTAAGATGACAAGATAAGCTATATTTGTCACTATAATAACCAATAGGGGTACACAAACATCTCAACCCGACCTAATAAAACCCATGGCAACCCGATTGATTTTTGGATTTTTTAGCGCCAAAAACTCAAAATCAATCAGGTTGGCATGGGTTTTTTGGATGGGTTTTTAAGGTTGGGTTGAGATGTTTGTGTACCCCTGATATAAAACATGAAGGTCTAGAGGACTTTCTTACAGAGTAGATATTTTTCAAAACCAGAAGGCAGTCAGGTCAAGAAAGACTGCTTCCCCCTCTGCCTCTACCTCCAACAGTGCAAGGTGTGTGAAAATAGTTCAACAAGCTGCTTCCTCCGCTGCCTCTAACTCGATCACCCATTGCCCCATGTTGCCCCGGAATGCAAAGCTTAAAGGCCAAGCTCAACCCCCCAACGCTTGACAAAGATCTAGTTGTTCCACCACTTAGCCAATCCATCACATCACCTCTTGTATCACCACCACCAGCATAAACGGACACTGACCATTGCAAGCTCACCAATGACATTGTTTCAAATGCAATAAAGGACCTTTGTTGGTCCTCTTCCAATCTCTCTCCCATGAAACACAACACTTCAGACCCTTTTTTCAACTCTTTGGTACACCTTTCAATGCACCTCCCTCCAAAGACCGTCTGACTGGTTCTCTGTCTAATTATGTCAAGCTAGCCTGGGATGCTTCAATACCCTCCTCGTAATTCTATACACGCATGCAAACCGGTGTGGATGCGTACGGGCTCTTTTTCAAGTGGTATACTCAAGTCAAGTCAGACCCACAATGGCTTCCCTGTTAGTCTCTCCTCCCTTCATGTTTCTTTTTTTCAAAATCAGATTTTGAAATGATCTCATTTGTTTATGGAATCTTGTAGAAAATGGAACCTAAATTCATTGATGATTTGCATGAATTGACTTATTTTAAATCAAATGATCCATTATTGTAGAGCAAGTCCCAACCAAAGTCTTGGAATGTGACTGCGCTCCAATCTCAATCTGGGGTGATCACATCTCGTTGAGAAGTGAACCCCCAACAAGATTGGATTGGCTACGTACAACCAAACCCTTCTATTGATATCTTACATTGAATCAAGTGCAGAGCAGAAGCAGTTTGTTTTTTATCCCACTTGATTAGCTTTTTTTGCCAAGCCTTCAATTCTTTTGTTTTATTAGTTGATGTGTGGTTAGAATAGGCTTGAAAAGTGATGAAGTGTTTCAGCATCTTTCAGCTGGTGATTGTAAGTGTGAATTTCTTTGACTACAATTGAACTTCAAAAAAAATTGACAAGAATTCATTTGTTTAATCAGTTTTTATCTTTTTTTACTTTATTAGAATTTATTTGTTCAATCAGTCTTTTTTTATCTTTTTTTCTTTCTTAGAATTCATTGGTTTAATCAGTTTAATCAGTCTTTTGGTCTTCTTTTACTTTACTAGAATTATTGTTCTTACTCCAATCAATTTTCATGCCAGGAAGTCAAACAGCATGTCAGGTCTATTGAACAAATATGGGTTTATCAATACTTCAAATACCACCATCATTCAGCAATCAATTCCCTGCAAGGAACTGCCAGCAATCCTTCAGAAACATTACTGCACAGCCTGCCTCCAGCTTGAAGATGAGACCTTTTGCTTATTTCAAGATATTCACTACTGGTTCAGGGACAGAGGTAAAGGGAACTATCTTGGAGAGCCCATCTTCATAGAAGAAAATCATATACCCCACAGATTCCCAACCTTGACATTTCCCAACCAATTTCATCAACCTCCACCAGCCAACCAAGTAAATCAACTACGACATTCCATAACTCAGCATTTGAAGCCCATCCTTGAACAAGAACAAGACTGGTACAACAACAATACAAGTGTATACTTCATTCAACACAAGGAGGAAGCTACTATAACCTGTAATTATTGTTCAGTAACCTTGGTGGGTGCTGCTTGCCTGTGCAAGCAGTGTGGAAACATCGCCTGTCCAAAGTGCTATGAAGTTATGATTCTACTTTCTCAATCACCCCATCAAGACATCTCTAACTTAAAAAAATGGCACACTCAGATTACCCAATGTCAGAGACACAATAGGATCAGCACCCATGGAGATTGTTCCCACATCAAGGTTTCTCATCTCTATATAACTGACATTCAATCAATGCTTAATGAAATGGACATTCAATAAGACCCAGAAGACTTTGTGCAAGAACATCACTCCCAACCATCCATTGACAAATTCGTTTTCAAACCCTTGCAAGAGAACCAGTGAGCTGACTAGAAGATCCCGGCTTAAACCCTAAAGAACCATCCCAGCCTCTTTGATTACATATGGTCTTGTGGTGAAGTCTTGCTATTGACAGGTCTCAATCAATTGTTGGACAAGAATTTGTGGACACCAGGATATATCAACTCACTCACTCCAAATCACAAATGTGTCCTGCAAGATGCCAACAATCCAGAAAAGCCTGACAAACATTCAACAATCCAACAATTCTTTCAGCCTTTTCAGAAACAATCTAAGACAGGAGAAATATGGAAGCTCAAGGTGTGTTACAAAACATTTCAATTGAACAACTCCAAACAATTCTCAAGATGCAACCATTTTCTTCCTGCACACAGGACTGGCCCACTACAGCTGAATTTGGGCCACACTATTGGTCTCTATTTGATGATTTCCAGAAAGCCCTCCCTATGGTATATTTCACAGGTGAAAGAGTATTCCATAACTTAGCTTCACATTTCCCAATATAAGCCAACAAGCCAGGCCTGTGAGTATTCTCACTGAATTAATCCATTGTAGTCCTGTTCCATTGACTTATATAGCACATTGTTTTTTTTTCAGAGGGCCCAAGTTAAGCAGAAAGGCAATCAAACAGACATCACCTGCTGATTTTTTGTAGAAGGCTCTGGCTCCGGGTTGATTTCCAAGGTCAGATCCTACTGGCTGAATCAATCAATTTACAAAATATCTTCTTCAAAATTCACAGAAAAACTAAAAAGAATTCCCAGTCACAAGTTCATACCAGTCATTCCTCAACCCTTTGAATTATTAAACTTTCCAGATCGTTGTTTTCAAAAGGCAGTGAAGGACATTTTGGAAAGATTATCTCAGGAACACCCTTTCCATTTGGTTATGAATGTCTTGTACTATGCTGGATTCAAACCAGGAATAGAACTTAGCAAGCAAGTAGATGAACAATCAAGCCCACAAAAAGCTTCTCAGCACATCATCCTTAAGGGTCTTCAGGGGGAAAAGCAAGGAATTTTTTGCAGCATGCTCAATGGATTTCAAGTATATATGGCCATTTCTAGATTGAAGCACAATACCGATTTTCTAGGCTCACAGTAGAAAAAGATATTGCAAAAGAACTTCAAGTTTGTAGAGATGAAGCTCAGAAGATGAAGCTAAAAGCAGAAAAGGCCAACATGCTGCTCAATATCAAAGCTGATTATAAGACTAGCCAACAAAAATTAATTGAAAGATTCAAGACTTATGAGCACAAGGTTCCATTATTGACCAAATCCATTGAAGTTGATATGAGTTGTAGATATGAATCCATTGTCTACATCGCCAAAGTAACTGGATGGGAGACATCTGATTCTGGAAGAAGTCAGCCAATCATTCTTACTTGTGAAGGTACTGACGGCAAACGATACCGTCAGCTGGTGAGTTTCTTGAAAACATTGGTTAAAACAAGATGATATTGCTGATTAGTCCTTTTCTCATTTGCTCAAGGTCAAATCTGGGGATGATATAAGGCAAGATTCCCTCATTCAGCAGATATACAGTGAAATTAACAAGATGTTACTTGAGAACATTCCAAGCTTTGACAGTAGTCTACAACTTTGTACCTATCAATGCTTTCCAATATCTCTGGAAACAGGTGTGCTTGAGTTTGTTGAAAATACAATTTCATTGAAAAAACTTTCAGAACTGTGAGTAAGCTAGAACTGCTACTTTTTGCTCAGCTCTTAGGGTGACTTTCTTTGTTTCCTATTCCACACCATGATTTATGTACAAGGGAGGTCAATAAACAGGAGGGGATCCGCCAAATCATTATGCCAGATACCAGGGAACTGACCTGCATCAGGTCTGTAGCTACCTCTTCGATTGCTGGGTATGTGGTTGGTTCAGGGGACAGACACCAATTGAATATCTTGCTGGATAGGGACACTGGAGAGGTGGTTCATATCAATTTTGGTATAGCCTTTGATCATGTAAGAATTTTTTTACTGGTTTTTGGTTATCTTTAGTTGACAAAATCATTTCACTCCATCATCCAAACTTTGACTTAACAGGGGAGATGGCTAAAGGTACCAGAACAGGTACCTTTCCGACTTACTAAGGATATAATTGGAGCATTTGGTAGTCAAGGTACAAAGGGTCCTTTCACAGAAGCTCGCAAGCATACATTGAAAGTGTTGCGAATGAGCAAAGATACAATCCTGACAATGTTGAAAGTCTTCATCTTCAATCCTCTTTCAAGCTGGTGAGGGAAGTCCATACAATCAGAGTGTATCCCAGTTCATTCAGCTTATTGGAAAGATTTTGGTCAAACAGGTCGAGGCAACACATTCCTAATTGGACATCCGAATATTTTCCAACTTTCAATCCTTCAAGACCCCCAACTCAATCTCAGATGTCCATTTCCCATTGTGACATAGACCAGGATGACACCAGTAGAATCAAACTGAGGAGAGGTTTCCCAAAATCTGTTCAACAGGCTCTGGACATAGTGAATAAGGTTGAAAAGAAGCTAGCGGATGATTTAGATGTTGCTGCTCATATTGAAGAGCTAATATTGCAGGCCACCAACCCAAAAAACCTCAATTTCATGCATCCACGTAAGCTTTGAAAGCCATTCCTTGATCTACCTGTGGATCTACCTATTTATGTCAACTGGGACTGACATTCCTGGTTCTATTGTAAAATCCCATCATACACTTCATAGCATGGCTTGGGCATCTGGTTGAACCCGTGTTTTTGGGTATGGTTGCAACTTGGAAGTTAAACTTAATATGCCTGGAATGTTTGTTCCCCTATTCCCCTTTTTGTATTGTTTGTGTATGGGGTGGGAATTTTTTACGAAACTCTTTTTACACCAAAACACTTGGAAGACCTTTTCTAAAGAGTCAAATAGATCAAGGTCAATACCATCTCCCTCGCCTTGATCTTTCTTTATTCCTGTGCCTCTTGTTGTGATTAGTAATAAATCACAGACCGGTTTGTGTTGTTTGTGTTGATCAAGGATGTTGCCCCGTTGTGTTCTTTGCTGTGTTGCCCTGATCTCATTGTTTGTATTCTGTTGCTGACAAACACGTATGACGTCACTTGATATGTTTCTTTTACAACTCTGAAGTTCTCACTCAACAACTCGATAACCATTTACTTTTATCATTGTTTTTCCTTTTTATTGTTTTCTTTTTATTGTTAGAAAAAGTTGTTTCAATCTTTGTTTCGTTCTAAACACTCAATACTACACGACAAACTCATTCAACTATAAAGCTGAATCTAAATCAAACTCAAGCACTTATCGAAAGGAAAGGAGGTATAAAGCTTGGGTTCTATTTTTTGTCAAGATTCTTCTCTTATCTAATTTCAAATGGAGTCATTTTAAGATGTAGACTTTTGCTTTTGATTACATTGTTTGATTGAAAATCCATGTTACAAAGTTGAATCTTATAAACGTAGTTATTGTTAAAGGTACAACAACTTTCTCTTTTATCTATTTCTCTTATTAAAAATGTTTGTTATGTTTTACTTCAAAATTGTTATTGTTAAAGAAATTAAAATATAAGTTTTCTCCTCAAGAAAGAGAGATCCTACCCGTTTACTACACCTCTTTCTAGCCTCTCTCACCTATTCTTCAGCAAAATTACAAAAAACACAAATATAAATGCTTGTATTTCATAGTATTCAATGACTACATGATCTCAATTACAAAGTATTCCATCATTAATAGTAGTAAAATTTGTTGTGTTTCTCTTTCCTGCACTCCAGACTACCTCCTATCAACTATGAAATGAAAAACTGTGTCTTTCAGCCTATTTCTGCGCCCATGAGCTGAGCAGAGCTGAGCCTGATCCATGGGCGATTGGGGAGCTTGAAAGCCCCAAACCGCTTGGCCCAAAAGTCCAATTGAAAGTGCCCCAAGCCAATTGACCATCAAAGTTGGTGTGCCTGGAAGGCGCCTGCTTGATGGCCTGCCCCTCTGTAAAGGGTTACACAAGTACAGGTTGACTCATGGGTTTAGATTATGGGATTAGATAGATAGCACTTTACCTTCTTGCTCCACACCCGGTTCTAGGAAGTCCTCACTCCTCTGAGAGCCTATATTGGGACTTTCTGGAACCAGGTGAGCATTTCTCTTATTTGTTTTCATCTCTTCTTTTGTAGTGATGGGTTTGCTGACTCCTCTGAGAGCCTATATTGGGACTTTCTGGAACCAGCTCGTAATTCATATAACGAGGTTCTAAGTTAATTGTCCGATTCGAGCTCTCTCGAGAAGTCGTGCCGGATTATCATCCGGACGCTAGTGAAGGTTCTCACGAGAACCTTACACTTTTTTTAACTTAATTTACCTCTAAAAAGTTACCACAATTTTTTTCAACCTATCTCACGTCATCTATTCGGTCCTATCCCTTTGGATAATCTGTCATTCAATCTGTTGCCCGGTTTCATTCTGTTATCTGCCACCTCTGTTTCTGTCTCGGTTTTCTGCTCTCTCTCAATCTGTCATCTGTCAAATCTTGTTCTGTCGAGTATTCGTTTCGAAAGCTCCCGGATCATCAAGACTGACACTACAGTCCAATCGACGAACTCATCGGATGTTCGGACCAGCTGCCCTAATACCCACGAATTACACTGACGATCCTGAAGCTGTGTTAAGACAAGCGCGTAAAGAAAAAAAGAAAGAAGTAACAGTCACAGAAGACTCAGAAAGCCCACCAGCAGGTCCACCACCAAACTTTAAGTGGAGACCTGAAGCTTCAGCATCTGGATCACCGGCAGCTGTAACGGACCGGATTGTTTACGCCTCATCCTTCTCACACCCTACGCCTTCGACGTCAGCCAAGCTAGGGTTCTCACCCATCGAAATATCACCATCAGCTCCCGAGAAGACGGTCGTAGACCTTCACTTCAAGAAACTGTTCGGGGCTGATTGTACACCTCACTCACCGGGTTTCCTTCCGCAGTTCACGCCACTGCCCAAATCAAATATCACGTCTGCGGCTGAATTGCCTTCTTCTAACAATCCGACAAACACAATGTCGAGAGAAGAAGATGGGGAGACGATCCGTAACCTACGTTCCCAAGTAGCCAGCTTGGAGGTGCAATCTGCTCAACTCAGTCAGTCTTGAGAAGAGACAGCGGAATTGAAACGGCTCGTACGGGAACTCTTGGACGAGCGAAGTCGTGGCATACCTCCTCGTGACTCTGTCGCAGCTGCAGACCTAGGACAAGACGAGGTGACCCAGGCAACAGGGTCAAATACCTTCAGTCGGTACATGAATCAGACGCCGACTTCTCCGACACCCCTGGCGCGTAGTCAAGCATTGCCACGTCCTGATATCGTGTCAAGAGCAACTGCCGAGGGCATTCAAGACGAGCAACCGTCTGGGTCTCATGCTACTCACCATCGAGTCAGCTGGGCTGAAGAGACGGCGGCGAACGAGACCGTCTCGCGACCACACCCAGCTCAATCGACTCCAGCTGGGTTCATGTCATCATCGGCCCATCCGTCACCGTTGATGACTGAATACTCATCAGCACCGTCAGCTCCAAACCACCCAGCAGCGGAGCGTTATCACGCACCATCTCAACCTCCTACAATGCCTGCCGTATCCACCTTCATGACAGCCGATCGTATCAAACTAAGCGACCTGCCAAAATTCAAGGGCAAGTTCGGCAAGCCGGCGGACCTCTTTCACTGGCGAAATCTCATTCAAGAACTTGGTAGACGACCGCGAAAAGTTGAAGTTGCTAGGCTCGTTGTTGGACGACAAGGAGCTATCGTCTTGGTATCAAGCCAACAAGGACGAACTTAGGCGCCAATCTTGGGAGGGCGCAATGGAGATGATGGCTATGGGAACTTTGCCATATGCCTGGCTAACGGACACCGAGAACGCCCTTAGACAACTGGAGATCAAACCAGGGGAATCTTTCGACCAATACGTCAAACGAGCTCAGGCGATACACAGACTCATCAAGCCGTTCGGACAGGTCACTGATTGGCACCTCGCTCAACATATCACTTGGGGAGCGCCACAATTGCTCAAGGACTGGATTGAACGAGATAAACTCTTATTGGCACCTACCTTTTCATTTCCGGTTTTTAAGGACGCAGCAGACGGTATTTATCGGTTACTAATTAATAGTAAACTCGTACCGGACCCCTCTTCCAAATCGAAGGCCACTTCGAGTTTAGCAAACCCTTCCGTTGCGGCATCGAGTACTGTGCGAGTGGCGCCTCCTCCTCGACAACGCTCAGACAAAGAGCGTGCCGATAATGCCTGGAGATATCATGAATATCTCAGAAGAACAGGTATTTGCGCTACATGCAAAGAGAAGTGTAATAATCCAAACTGCACACGTCGCAACCCTCGTTTCTTATTGGTGCCATCTGATTTCAACCCGGGACCCAGACCTCGACGCACAGTCCCTGCGACGACTACACCAACACCCGCTGGAGCTCCAACACAAAGACCAGCAGGACGAGCGCCAGTAACGCCAGCTGTAACCAGAGTAGCGGCTGTAGAGAACGTTGCCGACATCTTCGCGGATGACATCGCCGCTTACGAAGAAGCGGACCAGTTTCAAGCTACTCAAATAGAAGATCTAGCAAATGAAGAAGGGTGCGTACCTTCACAATCTGTGGCACCGATCATCTTGGAACTGATTTGTAATGGAAGAATTGTTCGTGCTTTGGTGGATTCAGGAGCGGGTACGAATCTCTTATCCAACAAGATAGCGCGTGACTTGCGTATCCCTCAAAGACCATTGATTGCACCGGTCGAGGTACGCCTAGCCATTCCTACGGAAGGTACCCCCCTAGTATTGAAAGATTTCGCGATGGCTAACCTCAAGTGTGAAAATCCTAGTACGCGCTTTGGGGCGGTTTTCTTCAAACTCGCGCCATTAAGTTCTTCGTATGACATGATTCTTGGGTCGCCATTTTTAACCAAATTTCAGTTAGATATTTCAATGCACCGCCGTTGTGTAATACATACGTCATCTGGAAAGATTTTTTATGAAAAAGCAATGCAAGAAAAATTGAACAGAGTGCTGTGTGCGATCGAAAATATTGACATGATCGCAAAGGCACAAGACTTTAGTGATCGTGAGAATAGAGTCTTCAAGGACTTTGAAGATCTTTTCCCGGCAGAGCTTCCTCCAGTGGAGGACGATGACATGCCGGATGAATCCTTCCCGGAAAGTTTACCGGATGAAAAAAGAAAAGTGAGGCATAAAATCATTTTGACCGATCCCAACGTCACGATCAATGAAAAGCAATATGGCTATCCAAGAAAGTACCTAGACTCTTGGAAGAAGCTACTGGACCAACACGTGAAGGCGGGACGACTGCGACGCTCACAGAGTCAATACGCATCGCCATTGATGATAATTGCGAAGAAGGACCCATCAGAATTGCCAAGATGGGTCTGCGACTATCGTAAGCTGAACAAGTATACGGTCAAAGATCGTTCTCCATTACCAAACGTCGACGAATCAGTGCGCCTAGTAGCAACGGGGAAAGTGTGGTCCGTAGTGGATCAGATCAGCTCCTTTTTCCAGGACCGTATGAGGGAGGAGGACATCCCGCTGACGGCGGTGAAGACTCCGTGGGGCCTATAT